CTTGCCTGCCAGCTCACTTAGTTCAGAGTACGGTCCACTGTTGAACTGCCTGTGTTCCTGGGACAGAACCACTGATGTACTGGAGCTTATTAATGACCTGATAACTTCTAGAATGACTGGACAAAGAAAAGATATCAAAATGGTATTGAATTGTGTCGTCAACTGCTTTTGTTTCAAATTCGAAGTGGTTAGCAAATTCAATGAAATCTGCACACGTAAACCCAAAAACAGTTTATATCATAGAAAACATTTCTTTTTTGAATTGTTTACGCAAACGATAAACTGACTTAACAAACAGATTTAAAGCTTTGAATCATAATGGTTCAACTCCATAGGGCCGCTACAAAACCTGCGCCTTGGATAACAAAAGAAATAAACATTTTGTCTTGTTAGGGAGAAAAGACACGACACAGAAAGAAATCTGTTACCTTCCAGCTGCCTCCAGAGAACAAACACATGTTGGCATTGGATTTTCTTTCTTGGATGATGGTAAACTAGTTGACATCACGTTTTCTTAGTGCACGCACTGGCCGATAAGCGCGGCTGAATTTGTTTACTCCCGGGCGTGTGCAAAGATAGACTGTTCGAGCAATGCTTTTTTCTAATTTTGAACGTTGGAGCCATTTTCAATGGAGTTTTTTACGTTGCTTCTCTCTGTGATTGGTCAACTCGCTCCACTCGCTCCACTCGCTCAACGAATCAGGTGCAAAGCTAAAAAAAATCACGACTTGGTCACCCGCGTTTTCCCGCAATTTAGGCAATTTGGTTGATTTTAGTTTAAGTTCTCATTGGTTCCTAAGAGTATTTTACTTTCCTCTGATCAGCCGTTGTGATAAGTTTGGTTTTGGTTTTATGACACTCAATCGAAAAGCGTTTTATAAATCGAAACTCAATTCTCAATCCAGCGGAGCTCCGTGTGAGTGTCCACTAGCCCACATGCAATCCATACTAAAAGTTATCTCAAGCTCTCTGGTTTGAACATTTTTTAAAGGGTCAGCGTTAAATTTCTTTATTTCGATCGCGTTATTTCACAATCAGAATTAGGAGCTGAAGCTCTCTTTTGTGGATACTGGTAGGGCTCTCTTTCCAAACCAGCCTTTTTTTTTGGCATTTGTACCCAGTCCTCTACCTGCTTACAACAAATTGAGCCGTGCGCGGAAACACTGTCGTATCTCACAATTCCATTTTTTGGACTGTCTTTCAGATGTTCTTGACCTTAACTTGCAGGACATTTCGTCCGCCTGATACTTCTTCATCCTTTTTCAGGGTGAGCCCACGTGCCGCACAGCAGTGCAGGAGCACCATGACAAATTACGAAAGATAGCTGATAATTTAAGGCTGATTATGGTAAATGTGTGATTGCTACCATGAGCAATGAATTGCAACCCAACCCTTTTTTCCGCAAGCCTCTTTTGGGTGTTTATTGATAGCGGGATTGCAGCGAAGGGTGAGAAAATAAGGGAGGTTTGGAGGACGGTACGACCCGACCCTATCGTCCTTTTTCGCCCAGCACCACTATCATGCCCAGTTTGTTGAACGATCGCCTTGCACAGACTTGTCTGAGTCCAAAGCGCGGGAAGGGAGAAGAAGGATAAAGCAATCGAAGCGCAAGGAGTGTAGGAGTGTTAACCCTTTAACTCCAAGATTTGATTATTAATTCTCTTCTTTGGCTGCTACACATTTCCTAATAAATTAGTTACAAGAATTTAGTGTTTTATCATGAAAACAACATCTACTTGATCAGCATGAGTATTCTTATTACTTGTTTGCTGGATAATGTACGGATATTAACAGGAGTATTCAGATTCCAATCACTTCTGGGAGTTGAAGGGTTAAGGAATACCGTGAAGTAAATCTCTCGTCAATTTTTATTTCCTTGGATTGGTAATTCTCTACTCTAAATGCTATACATTTCCTTTTAAACTTGCGAGAGAATGTGATGTATTTGGATAACGCCCTTTAGTTTAGCGTGATCTTTATTACTCTGCCCTATTACTTCCGTAGGCGATCATTGAATCTCATCTTACATCAACTGACTCAGTACCAGTCCCTTTGTCCGAAAGTGACGTAGAATTCTTTCAGAAGGCTTTCCAGGCATACTGTCTGTCAGAAATCCACTTACACCACATGGTAAATACAAGTAAATACTCTGTAAAAGAGAGGATTATTGTAATGGTGATAGTAATACTTATAATAATAAGGCTAATAATAATAATAATAATAATAATAATTATTATTATTATTATTATTATTATAATAACAAGACTAATAATAGTAATAATGATGATTATAATAATAATGTTATTGGTATTCCAAACATAGTTAATTGACCGTAGTAATTTAAGGAGGCGTTCTTGAAAGACAAAGGAAAGTTTGCTTGACCAGTTCCCACTTCCCTGTTATCGATATCGTGATATTCTAAGTCGGGCCTATGACAGGTGATTGAAACTTCTTCGAGAACTATTTGAAACAAACTCGCCCCACACGCGTTTTCTCCGTTCGTACATTGGGCAATATTTACCTTCTTGCATGCCATCCATGCATTGATGTGTTCCCAGCTTCTTTCTGAGTATCAAGTTTGAAGATTTACGAACTGTCTTCGTTGTGTTTGAAGGAAAAGAACGATGATCACGAAGGAACTTTGACCGCCATGGAAAACGTGCTTGTCTGGGGTGACAGAGTATTACTGCCAGTAATTAAGCAGGACAGGTCAGCGGTTTCCCTTGGAGTATGTTTTGGTTATCCTACATGATGTAGATACGTAAACGCTGCAATAACGAACGTGCATGGTGTCTATGTTTTTACAAAAACTGTAGAAATTCTCGTACGCGCATTGGTCGAGGGCCATCGTCAATTTAAACAAATAGATTCCAAGTTGCCGTGCGTCTGTTCGGTAATAGATCACAAATGACGTCAAAATGTGGTAAGAACAAAAAAGTGGCACACGAGGCGCAGCCGAGTGTGTCACTGATGACACAACTTGGAATCTATTTGTTTTACATAATAAAGAATTAAAAATTAGTTTTAATGATGACGTCATCTATACGTCTGTCCTCCGAAAGATCATAAGTGAGAATCAAACAGACTTCGTGCATAACTGAGCTTATTGTATAAAAGGTTTTAGAGGATAAAAATGACATATCATGTAACACAGCGCTCAGCAATCAGGAAAAATTGATTTTCCTCGTGGTTTTACTCTAGTTTCTAAAATTGTCAACGTCATTTCTACGATCATTAAGGTAAAAGACAGTGGAAAAATGTGGTTGATTTATTAAATAGATATTAACAGAAATATTTTTTTTGCATACGCCCTCAAGTCTCTATGTTACAAGGAAAGCGTTTGCTTTCCTTATTTTTTTTACAACGGGTTCTCAATTTGCAATGACTTGTGAGGACCTTTTTTTTTTTCCGAGGAAGGGAGAAGTCTGTAGCTATCTTTTCAGTTAGTTGTTGTGGTAATTAGTAAAATTATGAGTCTCATGAACAAAATGGAAATGTATATAACAGTGTGAATTAAATTTTAGGAAAGTTTCTGATGAATCGATGAAAGTAGCTACTGGTGCCAAACGTGTTCGCGAGGAGGAAAAATTTTGTTGTTTGGTAATTCACTTAGTAGAGGTATGTATTGATACTAGCACTAGACTGGAAACTTCACCACCTGACGTTGTCTCACGCGATAAACCGATTTATCATATGATCTCTACGGCCCCGTGAGAGCGCTTTCAGTAAAAAAAAATTTCGATAAAAACCCTCGTATGAAGGCCGCAAGTGAGAGCGTGAGCAGGGCCACACAGATCCGTGCCGCGAGCGTTCAAAGGGTAAAATGCTTATTGACTGATTTAGTTTTTTCTGTTTTCTGGAATAGCCAATCGCATTACGAGAATTCGCTTATCTATGAGTGTAACAAGTCCGTTTCGAAGCTGAGGCTCTTGTGATGTAGTATTAAGGATCTACTGTTTGTTTTTCCTTAGACTATTTTGATATGCCTGAGCGAGATATTCATGCTTCGAATGGCCGAGGAAAAATTCTATAACCAGGCGGCAGTTTTTACAACATCGGTAGCAAAAATCGGTGAGTGAATTTGTTAGTTTCACTAAATACATTTGTAGCGCAATTAAGAAAGTCAGAAAACGGGACATTCGCCTCCTTGTATTGACTCTTTGTGCACGATTTCCTGCTACAATTAAAATGAACAGTCACTGAATTTTATTAATAAAACACTTGGTAAGAACTGAACTGTTTTGGATAAAGTTTGAAAATAGGTACCAGTTTTTTATCACGAACTCATATGACATAGAAGGTTAAAACAGAGGGCTAATGTAACAGACTTTTTTTAAGTAGTCTATTGTGTCAAAATTAGTATTTGACTCGTTTTTGTTATGGAGCATGTTATTTGAAAGGAAAGTGTCTTTTAGCGTTCTTCGACTGTATACACGTGGCTCGTACTTGTTCTCTTGGAGGAAATTGCGATCTTAGAAACAACTTTAGCTACGTTTTTGGCGCATTAGTTTGTTATGATGGACTTTAGACAAATGTTGAAATTCTGTCACAAAATACTTTCAAACTAGACAGGTTTGCAACAAAAATATGAATTCTGCGTATAACCAGGTTCCGTCCCAACTTTTCCTTCCCTTCTCTTTTGGAGTGCATTTTAAGGACAAGGTGTTTGAAATGTTTTTATTAAAACCCTGACACTAACGTGGGGTACCGGAGGAGAACTGCGTGCTTGTGCAGGTATTTAGGCGCTTTATGTCGGTAGTGACAGGAATAACAGCACCTTATTGTGTATGTGATTTCGCAGGCATTTTTTTTCCTCAGGTTGTAAAGCAGTGGAGTTTTTACCGCATCTTTCCAAGCTGCTTTATCAACTTGCTGAGAGCGTGCTTTTGAGTGATGGTAAGTACCTCAGGAGAAGTACCTCAAGCCAGGAAGATTTATAACTATCGTCTTACCAAAACAATACAGAACTTACCATCACTGTATATTATTTAGGTAAAAACGATATTGATAAGTCTTCCTGACTTTATTAATAAAAGCACACACTGAACAGACAATTTTCTTTAACTTGTGGTTTAGCGTAGCCAACTTTTACACAGGTAGGACATTGTTGCACAGGACAAAAATACGAACGGAAAGTGGAACAAATACATTGTCGGCTTGATTCTAAGTAATGAACCTTTTAGGAAAACACATTTTTTGTGCGGGTGGTCACTTTCATTATTTTGTTTGAGGTGTTTCCGTCTTTCGCGCGCGCCTCATGCATTCGATACGATTTTTATATAATGCCAGATTTGTTTTAAAACCTCAAGGCCATGATACTAGAAAAACGAAAAAGTAAAACCTCAAGCTATTGAAAATGATTATGGTTAACTGATTAATAAATGGAATGAAATATAATTCCCTTATTCGGTGAACGATGTGATTGGCGCAGACATTTAAACCATCAGATAAGGTGTATTTATTTGTTGCTCCTCGCAGTGCATGGAATAAAATCTACGTTTGTGTTGTCTTTGTCTATTTGCAGAAACAGGAAATGTCACTGTTCAAAGTGGGCCTGTGTCGATTGTCCTGACAAACATACTTCAAATATTGACCGCTTGTGACAGTACAGAAGTGGATGTTCTACCACAGGTTAGGAATAACGGTTTTCTTCATGGTGTTCCATCCGTGCCATACGTTTTCTAACTGGTTCAATGTTGTTCCTTGGTCCGTGCGCTTGCAGTTTTCCCTGTTTCTTCGTCCCTTTCACCTGCTTGTGCTCCTTTTTTGTTTATTTCAATCGTGTGTTATCCTATATTTGATTTTCTTATTCATTCGTTCATTTATTTATTCGCTTTTCAGGCACTTCTCACTTTTCGTCCCGCCTTGGCTGAAGTTCTCCAGCTTACAGAGCTAGGTCGGAAACGCGGCAGCGGATCTAATGCTTGTTTCTTCAAACCACTGGTGTCTGCTGTATTGACAAACATCACGCAACAGGTATGATAGAACTGCTCTGGCGAACATGTCGTGATTAGATTTAGCTTTGCATTGATTGGTTTAGAGAGTGGCGTAAGGTTTCTGGACCAATCACATTTTCTCCTTTCTTTCTCATTTGAGACGCACGTTGTGGAAGATGTCACCGATGCTGTGCCTGAGTTACCCGCATTTGCAAGTTTTATTGTGAAAATAATAACAAGCGCTCATGCCTTGTTGAGGTAAAGATGTAGGTCAAATTGTTAAGTGTCCTTGTAGTGAAAATTGAGTTCTGTCGTCCGATTTGTGATTTCGTCTTACGGTCTTTTGCGGGCAACGCTGCTCATTACATCATTGGCAGCCGCTTATGGTAAAAGTTGTTAAAACCTCTGTTTCTACGTTAGTGATAATACTAACATTGGATAGTCAGCATCGGGTTATAAGATTCTTTACAACACTCTCAACACTTGCAGCACAAATGACACTAACACTACTAATTATTTTGCCTTTTAAGATCCTTCTCGTTGGAATTGAAAGAGCAGGTGTTGTCCGGAGCAGTCGATGAAAACATTGACCAACAGGGAGCTGTTATTTCACTTCTGGGCGCCCTTGGAGGTTTAAGATCACCTATGTCCTGTTTAGATTCTTTGCTAGGGGGTTGAACATGTAATGCAACGGAAAGTTCTTGAATGCTTATCAATTTTCTTTATTTGATCTAATGTAAGGCGAGAATTGGAATCGATTGATCGTTTTAATAATATTCATGGTTTCCTTTCGTTACCTTGGGAGCGCTTCTCTAACGCCCCTTCCGTTACTGTCACCTCCTCCTTTTCCTAACAGATGTGGGAAAATATTGTCCAGGATTTGTGAGAGTAAGAACCAGAGAGCCCGACGCTAAAATTTGTCATAAAACTGAGCCCAAAGTTATCTGCAGAACTCAACCTAATGATCCAGTGTATGAGCCAGAAAACTTTCTGTCATGAGTTTGTCACATCCTTTATCACCTTCAAATTTGTCCCAATTGTCTACTTTAAGAGACCACCTACTAACCTACTAAGGACAGTTTTTAATGTTGAGGGGGGAATGGGGAGAAAATTTTTTTGTGAGGTAGTTTTCTTTTCCCCCGTCCTTCTCTTCAAACTTATGAGATATATGAAATTTTTTCATTTCTTTTATTCTTTTTTTTTTTTTTGACAGGAAAAACTGAGACAAACGTCATTAAGACCTGCGCTCTTCACATTGACGAACAGTTAAAGACTTGTGATCGAGGCGATTTTGTGGAACAAAGGTGTGTTATGATTGTCGTTTTCTTTGTTATTGTTTTGTTTGTTACTTTACCCTTCTTCGTCCTTGTTAGGACTAGAGGAAGAACACCGTCTGAAATGGTCAGCCCCAGTGTTTTGTATAGAAAGGTTTTTCCCTTATTTCTTCATTAAACATAAAACTTTGGGTTATGAAAGTTGAAACTCGTTCGGAGCGTTCCAACAGATACGAGTCTCAATCAACGCATTGTTTTACAACACCATTTGATTTGAACTTTTTTGCAAAACATAGTCTTTTCAGGCTGCCAATTGTAGCCGAGGATTTTAGATAACACTTTTTGGAAAACACCTCAGCCTTACTGGTGAATTTGACAATTTATCTCTAAAGAAACATAGGTGGCAGTTGCCTGATAGTAAAGCAAAGAACTCAACGTCTGAAGATGAGATATTTTTTTTCAGTTTCCACTGACAGCTAAATGATTAGTTGTCCATAACTTTACTTCTTGTTGCTATTGTTATTATTTCTTTAGGAAGGACATTCAACGTGCCCGTTCACAGGTCCAAACATTTCTCTCCAAGTTACAAATTGTGACATAGAAGGTTAAAACAGAGGGCTAATGTAACAGACTTTTTTAAGTAGTCGATTGTGTCAAAATTAGTATTTGACTCGTTTTTGTTATGGAGCATGTTATTTGAAAGGAAAGTGTCTTTTAGCGTTCTTCGACTGTATACACGTGGCTCGTACTTGTTCTCTTGGAGGAAATTGCGATCTGAGAAACAACTTTAGCTACGTTTTTGGCGCATTAGTTTGTTATGATGAACTTTAGACAAATGTTGAAATTCTGTTATAAAATACTTCAAACTGGACAGGTTTGCAACAAAAATATGAATTCTGCGTCTATTATCAGTTCCTCCCCTCATAGCTTTGTTTGTGGGTCGGCTGCTTGGTGTAATTACTCACATTTCCGGAAAATATTTTTCATCAGTGGTACGATTCTTCTTTGAATCCATTTTAGGCCCATATACTCCACGCAGGATAAATTTAAAAACGCAGCACCATGAGAGGACTAGTTATTTTTCGTCCTCATTACCAAGGCAGGAACCCCTGATTACATTCTTGGAAATGCGTCGACTAAGTCCGATTCTGAAAGTGTGAACACGGGTTAACCCTTAAACTCCCATGAGTGACCAAGACAGAATTTCTCCCTACAATATCAATACAATATCAAGAAGACACGTGATGAGAAAAACAAACATATCGATCAAGGGACTCTTAGTTGATCCAATATCAAATTCTCTGAACCAACTCTATAAGAATTGTATGGCAGATAATGAGGAGCATTACTAATGAGATCTTGGGAGTGAATGGGTTAATAGACTCTCCTCAAATTGGCGACTGGAAACAAAGACCAATGATAAAAACTGCATTACGAGGTCAGTAAAATAAAAAAAAAAAACAAAAACGACAACAAAAGCATTCCCCATGGGATTATTTTCCGAAGATTTGTCAAAATAAATTTTTACTTTATCCAAGAAGTTTTAATCACAATTCAAACGATAAGCGACATGGAAGAAAAATGTCCAAAAGATGTCCATAAAGTGAGGTTGTTATGAATTTCCAGGCCCTTATTCCCTTTTATTATTTTAACCTACTTGAAATATCCCCCTATTCTGACTTGGACAACGCCTTAAGGTTTTTTCAAATTGTCATTCGTCAAGAGAGCCTCATCTTAAACTGTGGAATTCAATTTCGGTCGTCTCTTTTGAAGAGGATCTATTTGAGTCAGATCTGGCTTTTTAAGGTAATGAATCAGAAGCTTATCAGTTACAATATGTAGTTGATATTATGAACATGGCTAAGCAAATCTGCCTATTCCTAAAGAAAAGACGAGGCGCTACAACAGCGTTGCATCCTGTTTTATCCCCGTGTGACTACTATCATTTAAAGAATATAAAACAAAAACACTCACGGCGAACCGTGCAAAGTTCTGTAACACCTAGACACACTGATAGGAGTAGATAACACAAGTTTTCACACACAGCGAACAGAAAACTCGGTTCTAGGATCTTGCCATGGAGCCACCAGCCGGCATACGGAATGCAATTTCCTAATGAAGTAAATGAAAAAGAGTTAAACTAAGGCAACTCGAACATCCTTGAATAACAGAGAAAAATTAATTTTTACGCAAGAACAAATAGGCTCTCCACCCATCTCAGGTCGAACTACTTCACCCACCCACCCACCCCTCCTTACTGCGTCTGTCGGTCGCTGAAAGGAAATTAAGTTTAAGGTGTTCATTTTCTCCCTCAATTTTGTAAGGTATTCGATATCACCAGAGGATCTAGCTACGAGACGAACTCTTCTTTATTAACCCCACTTTTTGGTGACCTTCACCCCCCCCTCACCCCCCTTCAAGCAGACCTGCGAGTGTTTAAGCTTACTGTTTACTTCGCTCTACGAGTAAAGAAGGAAATTATTCGTCACTCTCTCAACCATCATATGAAACTGGCTAAAACCAATCAGGACTTGCTGTTGGGTCACCTGCCTTAGGCAGCTGGGTTGTTTTTACTTAAAGTTCTCTCGCGATCTCATTTGCTCTTAAAGGTATTTTCCTTTCTTCTGATCGTCCGTTGCATGTGGTTGCTTAGTTTTGGTTTAACGACATTCAATCGATAAGCGCTCCATCTTCTCTTGTACAGGACTGACTTTTTGGTTTTATATATGTTTGTGACGACAATGCAACTCACCCTGGCTTCTTGAGCATATGAACACCCTTGGCAGCACAAGTGTAACAGGAAGTCGTTACAATACGAACCCTACGAATAAGATCCAAGTAAGTTTAAATAAACACTTGGTGAGTAGTAGATTAGCAAAAACTTAATTTCAGCGTCGCGTATTTTCCACAAACTAACAGCCTGGTTACGAGCGCTAGCCCGGGAAGAGGACCGGCTCTGTAATATTCTTAAGATTC